TACCCATTCCTTTCCTTTGGTGTCCTCTAGTCCTTCTATTATGGGAACTAATGGAGAACTTTTCTTTATGCACCCTCTCCACACCACTCTTGCTTTTATAGACCTCTATCATATCCCCCCTCCGTCTCCTCTTCTCTAAGCTGAAAAGTCCCAGTCTCTTTAGCCTCTCTTCATATGGGACCTGTTTCAAACCCCTCATCATTATAGTTGCCCTCCCCTCCCCCACCCTCTCTCTTCCCCTCTCCCACCTCCTTTTCCCAGTCTCCCCCAGTTTTGTTCAATAAAGAGAGTTTCTATTTTTGAACACACATGTCCTTTATTTTGTACATCAGGAAGGGGGGCTAGGGAGGGGTACGTGGAAGGAGGAGAGGGAGGACTGGGGTACGAGCCCCCAATGGGGAGGACTGGGGTGGCTCTGCGGGCTCCTCGGCGTGGAAACTCTCCTGCAGCCCCCCGATTGACCCCTCTCCCCAGATGGCAGCCTGCAGCAAGTGCAGCCGATCTGATGTCTGAGTGCTGTGATGTGCTGAGTGTGGGCACTCAGGGCACTCCAAGCCAGGACTGCTTTGCAAGCGGGGAACCCCTGAGAACTGTCTATCCAGGGTGGGGGTCAAGACCCTTTAAGCACAGCCCTCGGCTAGCCTGAGACAGCAGCTCCCTGCTCTAAGTCCTCATCTGATGCCCTGCCGGCACTGCTTCCGGCCAGCCTTAACCCCAGTTCAGGGTCCACTCTGTGTGGACAAGCTAGTTCGAATTAGCAAAACGCTAATTTGAACTAGTTTTTAAGTCTGGATGCGCTAATTCGAATTAGCTTAGTTCGAATTAACTAATTCGAACTAAGTTAGTTCTAATTAGCACTGTAGTGTAGACATACCCAAAGTGAGCTTCAAAGATTTGCATTTCAGATAATAGTATTTATAGTCTCATCTTTACAAGTTACAAAACTCTTTACCCCTCCCTGCCCCAAAATCCACCCCACCAGTTTGTAACAGTTCCATAACTAGGTTTAGTTCTGCACTTTGCATATTTCTGCTTTGGATACTAAGAGTTGAGGGTTGAGGTAGATTCCAACCTGCACTGGGACACTGGGCTCGTGTGTCTTGGCTTTTACGGGCTTCTTATTTTTAATGCTGGCCTCAGCTTTGCAGATTGTGGGAGATACTCACATGGGTGCACAGAACTGTGGGAGGAGCATAGTTCGTAACTTCACCCAGCGTGCCCATTAATGTGGCATGTACTACACCTAACACGTCACATGTATTGTTCTCTGTATTGCTGTTAATGTTTGCGAATGCTTTCTAGTGGGAGCTAGCAAACTTTGACTCAAAGGTTTTGGTGACTCTATTTTACACAAGACAATTCAAAATAACTTTTGTCAAAATGTCCA